GGGAAGGGAGGAGTAAGGAAAATAATTTGGGATGGTTTGATAAATCCTTTTAACTATTTTATAAAAGAAAGCATTATAAGCACCAGAAATTTTCTGTTTTTACTCATTTTTTGTTTTTAAAAATCCAAGCAGTATTTATTTCTTAATTATATTTATCTGAACACCTAATATTAGATGGACTCTAGATAGCTTAGAACAGAGGTCCCCAATCTTTTGGGCACCAGGGACTGGTTACATGGAGAGAGGTTTTTCCGCGGACTGGAGGGTGTGTGGTTTTCATGTGCTGCCTGCATCCCGTGGATGGGGTTTTGCTTGTTTGTGTGGACCGGTTGCTGGCATGCCACAACCCAGTACCGGTTCACGGACCGGGGGTTGGGCACCCCTGGCTTAGAAAATACGCTTATTAAAAACATACAAAATTGAATGACTAAAACAGTAACAAAAATACAACCGAAAACAATGTAAAACTGAAAGAAATGTTATTGCTAATACAGTTAAACCCCAAAGTCCTCTAGGAAAGCCATGATTCTCACCTGCTTACAGAAGGCCATGAGAGTTGGGGCTATCATAATAAGCCTAGATAAGTGTTTCTGTGGCTAAAATAATCTGCTATCCTCCACTGAGAAACTCTAATGCCCTGCTTATCTGACTTCCACCAAACCTATATTTACTTTCTTAATGCCTATCAGCACTCTGTTTTTTCCCTCCCTCATTAACATGAAAAAGATTTCAAAGAGGCAATGAACTATTAAAGGCTTCACTTTTAGTATACATAAGGCCTGGCCATTTGCTGTATTCCTGTCCTGTCACGTTTAAGGAGCTTCTGGGTTGAAAGGATTAGCTGGTAACAGCACCATTGCTTGGGGGGATACCTGGGGGGGGGCTCCTTTCATATCCCATTAAGGAGCTGGAGCAAATGAGGGGAGTTGACCCCAACCCTGCAGCAGCTCTCAGGTCTTGAAGGTAGGCTTGCTAACCTCCAACCCAGTGTCCTAACCATGTAAGCCAGCAGTCCCCAGCCTTTTGGGCATCAGGGATCGGTTTCATTGAGAAAGGTTTTCCGTAGACCAGAGGCTGTGTGGTTTCGAGTGCTGCCTGCATATCACAGATGGGGCTTCATTTGTTTGCATGGCCTGGTTTCTGGCATGCCATGGACTGGTGCCGGCCCACGGACCAGGGGTTGGGGACCCCTGATGTAAGCCATCACACACTTAAGACAACTTGAGACAATTTAAGCATTTGTTAAAATATTGAAACTGAAACTGATAAATCATATATAGTTGCCCAAGAATGATAACCATGGAGTATGTCATTTTATGTTGGTCTTCTCTTAAGATATATGGGCAGGAAAATGTATCATTTATTTTTTAAAAAGTATTGAGATTCTGTAGAAAACTGGACTGTACTACCAAAATGCCTATGTTACAATCAAGGTCTGTTTTATTTCAAAATTCCTTATACCAGAATAAGAGTCGTTTTCTTACCCTCCAAAAGATCTTCATAAAGTGCATGTACTCCTTCAGGCACAATGACAGCCAAGGCAGTTCCACAAAGGAGCCCGGCACCAAGAACTGTAACCAGTTTTAATCTTTCCTGAAAATAAAAGTTAAAATAATTAAAGGAAATGTGAAAATAAATACTGTATGTATGTGAGTGTTGATATATGTGTGTGAAATATATATGGAGAAAACAGTCACATCCTTCATCTCCAGTGCTTACTTTAGTGGTGAATAACTGAGGTGCTCTAACCCAGCTATTTCTCTAGCTTGGAACTGGAAAAGGTCATAGACCTCTTTGCTATCAGACCTTTGAACCATACTGTATTGTTTTTCCTGTCTCTTTCCATTCCAACACAGACAAAAAAAATTAGGTCTCTTTTCATTATCCTCATCCTGAATACAAAGTATAGAAAGTATACTTACACAAATAAAAGAGATATACAAATGCAGTAATTTATTGTTTCTGAGTACATTATCTGAACTGAGGACTGTTTTACATTGATATTTACATAACCTGTTTAATTCTTATTCCAGGAAGATGACAAATTTCAAAAGAGCAAATAATCACTCAAGAGATTTCTGGAATGCACATGCATAAAACATACATTTTAGCCTATACAGTATAAGCACCTGTTAGATTAATGACAATGAATTGTCTGTTAGAAAAGACAGGAGGTCTCATATTTTTTAAAAAATAATCTAAAACAAAACATTTGATCATATGAAAGCCACATAATCCTAGCCTTTAAAGATGAAGCAGCCATTATTAAAAGTAATAAAAACCAGATTTTATGGTTTACAATAAATATAGAGACTATTAATTATAATATACACAATCTACAAATGCTTTTGGAATGCTTTGTTCAAGACACCTGATGCTGTTGTATTTTATTAAGGAAATTAGATAATACAAATCTACTTGACAACATGCATTTGATGCTTTCACAGTGAGCTGTTCACATTATTTTTTTATTTTACATATATAACCCAGCACTAATCTTCCTTTACAAAAATTGAAAGCTGCTCACAGTATGCTGAGTCTCTTGATTCTGGCAACATAGAAATAAGATTAATGAAGAAATATATGATTCATTAACTCTGAAAATGCATGCTACTCAAAGAACTGGAAAGAGATTTTCTATCTCAGTGTGAAACCATAGGAATTGGCAGTAAAAAAAAACCAGATTTAAATTATTATTTTATTTTATATCTGTTTAGTTATTTAAAGTTTCTTTGATTTAAACCATTCTGAGATTTTCACAAACATTTTCAAATCCTTACAAAAATTTCAGTTTAGAAAATTATTTTCTCACATAGTTTGGAAAATAAAGAACCTATTTTTTCTAAGCAGGATGACCTGATGATCACCCACAAGTATTAAATATAGGTAATAAGCCAAATGACCAGGCAATTAGCTTGCAAAATTTTGAAGAATGCAAGTAAGTTTACATGTTTCTTTTTTCTGTAAACAAAGTATTTGTACAGGATGAAAAAATAACATAGCTAAAATTTCTTCAAGCTATTTTAACCTGGCATTCTGCTTTGTTATTTTTAGACATATTATGTACTTTCTGCTTATTAAACTTTACTTCAGTGTCAGTTCCATATGCTTCACTGGATTTGAAGTTTACTTTTGAATTGTGCAGTAAATGAAATTACATTTGGCTGTCATTAAAATAAGCTGCACTTTTGCAGACATTTTTGTATAATCAGAATATTTTTTTATAACACCACCCGGATGTTTTGGCATCATGTGTATAATTTGAGTACAATAATATATAGAGCTGCCTTTGGCTTGCTGAGTCTTTTAAAATATATTGGAAAGTATTCCTTCCAAAATGTAGAATATTTTACTATATTGCAGAGAAACACAATGTGGACATGTATTTTTTTAATACTCAATTTTAAATGCACATATACAAGAGATCAGAGAAAAACAACTATGTGAAATAAGTATTCTTTCTTCAAGTTTTAGCTAACTGTACTGAAAAAAGAATAGGGCAATTATCTGGAAAAAAAACATTTTTTTTTGCATATAGCAAAATTATTTCGTATATCAAATTTCAAAAAAACTGACTTTAAAGCTGCTGAACATATTAATATCCGACACCACAAAAGGAAACTGGGCTTTGCAGAAAGAATTGGGAGAGGAAAATCCTCTAGTTGAGTAGTCAAAATATCTCAAAAGATGACACAATTTTTTTCTTTCTTTCTGCCATTTTATCTTTCATGCCGGGTCCTAATTCTGCAACACAAGTTATCAAGTATTTAAAAAGGGCTAACCCAGGGGTAGGCAACCTTGGCTCTTTTATGACTCGTGGACTTCAACTCCCAGAATTCCTGAGCCAGCCAAGCTGGCTCAGGAATTCTGGGAGTTGAAGTCCACGAGTCATAAAAGAGCCAAGGTTGCCCACCCCTGGCGCTAACCTAAACCAGGCGCTTATTCCAAAGTTTATTTGCGAGGATTTTTTTTTGGTTTCCTATTGTGTTAATTTATTTGTTCTTTACAACACTCCCCACCTCAAGATCGGTCTCCAGAAGTGAAAACTAAGACCGCGGCTAGAGAGCCCTTCCTCTCCGATACTCTTGGCAGTCTTCTGCACACCTGGACGGCAGGTGTTCAGAGCCTTCCTCCTTACCTCGGAAAAGTTTACGGCCAAAGGGATGATGCCGGCCACATAGCAGCCAATCAGCATAGCGAGCGAGAGCAAACTAATGGATAAAAAATCATCCATGGCCGGCTTCTCCTCCAGGCTCAGCGGTTCAACGGCTCGCCGCGGTTCAGCAGGGAATTCGCCCTCGCGGCTCCCGATAAAGCCACATGGGCCAAAATCTGGCTGCGCCTCTTTAGCAGCGGGCGAGCCAGTGAGGGGCACCCCGTTTTCGTGCAGAAAAAGAGAGGCCAAGCGGCTAAATCGCTGCGTGGCCGCTTCTCCTCTCGCTCGCAGCAGCTGGGCTCCACTCAGGTCAGGCAAAGAGGCTCCCCTTTTTTCGGAGGGAAGGCAGGCGAGCCAGGCCTCATTACCGAAGCGCGCTCCTCCTCAGCCAATAAGGAATTACACCCGTGGAAACAGAAGGCGGGAAGAAAACCCAACTGCCCTTCCTCGTCTATGCCTCCATCTCCCTCCGCTAGTGCCGTAAAGGCCAAGTGGCCGTGGCCCTCCGCTTCCTCTCCCCTGCTCAATTTCCGGGAGACTTGGCAGTTTGAAAGGAAACGTATAAAGTCCACTTTCAGTTGCTCTTCCCCTTCCTGCCCAATTTAAGATGGCAGACTTAATAACTTCAAGCGCGCTATGATGAAGTCGGTGAGCAGCGACGCCCTTAGCAAAGATGGGCGCCAGGTCAGAACTTCCGCCTCCTTAAAAAAAAAAAAAAAAAAAAGAGTGGCGGGGGAAATCTCGCGGGACAAGCATAGAGGCCTCTCTAGCTTCTGAAACGGGGAGCGAAAGCGACGGCATCTCTATGGTTCAACCCGAGGTGCAAGGGGTGTGTGTTACAACGCGTGAGAGACTAGGCGGCCTGCATCCGGCAGCCGCGGTGCATTGTGGTAAGAGGCGTCGTTGGGAGTTTGTGCTTCGCGCCTGAGCCCGAGCGGAACGAGTCGCCATGGTGAGTAAAAAGGAGATAAAGCGCGTGCGGCCCTCGTTTTATTAGGCCGAGGCATGAAAAGGCGGCTGAAATTATTTGCAAAAAAGTTAAGGGGGCTCCGTAAGAATAAACAGCTTCGTCCCGCTGCTACTTTGCAGCGGGCCTGAGGTGGCCATGGCGGCGATGGGAGGTCTTGTCAGTTAACTGCTTACGCTTTTTGGGGAAAGGGATCCCTTTCTCTTCCTCTCTCACTCTCGAGAGACCCTGCACTGTTCCCAGGAGGACGAAGCCTCCAGAGTCCCAACCCGCCCTCGAAGGGATGGTCACGGGGGCTACTCGGAAGGAGATGCCAGCGCCGCATCCAACTCCGTGCGAAGTTCTTCTGAAGATTTTTTTTTTGTCCCTTGCCATTCCCCTTGTATTTGCCAACCCCCCCCCCCAAAAAAAAATGGCCCGCCTTGAGTCCCTTTAGGCAGAGAGAAATGACTGGGACCTTTATCGCCTGTTTTTTTTAAAAAAAAAAATATTTAAAAGTGAATCAAAAAGAAATCCTCATGATAAAACGAATAGGAGTAGTAACAGCATAATTAGAATCAGTCGGGTTTTACAATGTTTTTTTTTTTAATTCTAATTGTTCTGGGGGAAAAAATAGATCTAGAACAGTGTTTCTCAACCTTGACAATTTTAAGGCATGTGGACTTCAACTCCCAGAATTCCACAGCCAGCTTTGCTGGCTGTGGAATTCTGGGAGTTGAAGTCCACATGCCTTAAAATTGTCAAGGTTGAGAAACACTGATCTAGAACCACGTCAGCGGCCAGTTGCTGAAATGGAAGGATGAATCTCCCCGTGGTATGTGTGCATCAGGCTAAAACTACATTGATTTCTGTATGTAAACATAGCGTGTGTGCAGGAACAAAAGTATTTGGATTTGACAGATCTAACTTTTAATGGGGCTCTAAGGCTTCTGCAATATTTGTTGATGCTGTTTTAAGATTGTTGTCTTTTTTTTCCAGTCTCATACAATTCTCCTTGTTCAGCCTACCAAACGACCTGAAGGCAGGACTTATGCAGATTATGAATCTGTAAATGAATGTATGGAAGGTAATTTTTTAAACTTTAAATGAGTTTTAAAGGGGAGTTCATTGTTAGAATGAGATCAGTCGTTTGCAGGAAAATAGCTAATGAGTCTTGTACTCTGGTACCATGTGCCAATTAAAATAATACAGGTAGTCCTCAATTTACAACAGTTTAGTAACCATTCAAAGTGACAATAGCAGGACAGAAAAAGTGACTTATGACCATTTTTCACAGTTACAAGCTTTCCAGCATGTCTATGATCATATGATCAAAATTCAGAAGCTTGGCAGCTGGTTCATATTTATGACCGTTACTGTGTCCCAAGATCATGTGATCACCTTTTGCGACCTTCTGATAAGCAAAGTCAATCGGGAAACCAGATTCACTTAACAACTAGGTTACTAACTTGTGAATCTGCAGTGATTCACTTAACAACTGAGGCAACAAAGGTCGTAAAATGGGGCAAAATTCACTTAACAAATGTCTCACTTAACAGAAATTTTGGACTCAATTGTCCTAAGTCAAGGACTACCTGTAATTACCTTCAGAGAGCTGCTTCTATGTGCTTAGAAACACTGGTTTGAAATCAAGTTTAAAGTATTGCACAGTTGTAAAATCTGTACCTTTTATTAGATTAATGAAGTAAATGTCATTGATCCCTGCTCTAGCAGTTTGACACAAAGATATCTTATGAACCCCATACCCCTCAGCTTTGGGCACTATAGTCAGTGATGCAGAAATAGCCAACATCCCAGAAGACAAGCTCAGGATCCAAAAAGATCTGGACATACTTGAACAATGGCTCTATCCAACAAAATGAGTTTTGATGTGGGAAAAAAAGCAAAGTTTTAAATTTAGGCAGGAAAAATCAAAGGTTTAAGTACAGATTAGGCAAGACCTGGCTCAAAAATAGAAACTGTGAGAGGGACCTTGGAATCCTAGTGGACAATCACTTGACTATGAGCCATTAATGTGTGGCAGCAGCCAAAAAAGTTAATACAATCCAGGGTTGTATAAACAGGCATAGAATCAAGATCACACGAGGTATTAGTACTGTTTTATAAAACCCTAATAAGACCACACCTGGAATACTGCAACCAATTTTGGTTACCATACTACAAAAAAAGATGTTGAGACCTTGGAAAAAGTTCAGAGAAGAGCAACTAAAATAATCAAAGGCCTGGAGACTAAAACATATGAAGAACAGCTGCAGGACCTGGGTTTGGCTAATCTAAAAAGAAGAAATAGGGGAGACATGATAGCAGTATCATGCCACAAAGAAGAGGGTGTCAAACTATTCACCAAAGCACCAGAGGGCAAGACAAGAAACAATGGTTGGATACTGACGAAAGAGAGAAGCAAGCTGGAATTAAGAAGAAACTTCCTAACAGCGAGGACAAATAATCAGTGGAACAGTTTGCCTTCAGAAATCGTGGGCGCTCCATCACTGGAGATTTTTAAGAGACTAGACAGTCATTTGTCTGAAATGGTATAGGTTCTCCTGTTCGAGCAGGGGACTGGACTAAAAGACCTCCAAGGTCCCTTCCAATTCAATTCTGTTCTATTCTAGATGAGATGAGATTATATTTAGTAAGGTCCCATCCCTAATGGAACGGAACAGAACAGAACAGAAAATTAGAATAGAATCTGGAAGGGACCTTGGATGTCTTCTAGTCCAGCCCCCTGCTCAAACAGGAGAACCTATACCATTTCAGACAAATGGTTGTCCAGTCTCTTCTTAAAAAATTCCAGTGTTGGAGCATTCACAACTTCTGGAGGCCGGTTGTTCCACTGATTAATTTTCTGACAGGAAATTTCTCCTTAGTTCTAGGTTGCTTCTCTCTTTGATTAGTTTCCATCCATTGCTTCTTATCCTGCCTTCAGGTGGTTTGGAGAATAGAAATAGAAATGAATATTGAAAAGTTTGATTCTGTGAACAGTTTAATGCAGAAGGTTGAAAATGACAAATCTAGTATCTTTTCTTGCAATTCTTATGCAAAATTGTAAAAGTATTTTATGCTGTGTTTATATATTTATCACCTATTAGGTGAATCTGTTGCCTTTTAACATTAATTCCTAGCTTTAGCATTTTTCTCCTCTTGATTCTTTGTCTTTCTTAACATTCAAGTACTCTGACAACTAGGCATCACAAACGTGTAATGTAACTGCTAAACATCATCCTTTTATTTTTAGGAGTCTGTAAAATGTATGAAGAACACCTGAAGAGAATGAATCCTAACAGCCCTTCCATTACATATGATATTAGCCAGTTATTTGATTTCATCGATGATTTGGCTGACCTTAGCTGCCTTGTGTATGTATCATATCATTTAACTTCTACAATTTTACTTCTATCGTAAATATATATGCTGGTTTGCACATATGTAATTAGATTTTTAATGTTACTTGTCCTTCTGCCTCTTGAATTAATATGGGTGAGATATTTAATGAGTATTACTCTGAATGTAAATGTTTTTGAAGCAAATATAATTTATCTGACACTGCTTTGGTTATCTAGAAGGTATTTAGTATCAAATTAATATTGCCACCCATCTCACAAAATCCACTCTAATTTTCATTTTCCATTGTAAAACCAATGCTTGGGTAGTTTTATAATTTACTATAACCTAAAATTAGCTGACAGTGAAGTACAAAATCCTGATTTGGATTGTATTCAGTATTAACTGGTTGGAACTATTCTCAAAATACCAGCATGCCACAACTTATATCTGTCATGTGTGGGAAATAGCAACTGCTGCCGATGGCTAATGGATGGTTAATTAATTTTTTTGTACTTTTGATTCCTGGTGACTGCCTGGAGTAATCCCTGCAGTTTTCTTTTCTTTTTTTTTTTTTTTGCGGTGGTGGTGATGTCATTGCTTCCTTCCCAGGGCTGAGAGAGAGTGGCTGGCCCAAAGTCACTCAGCTGACTTTGTGCCTAGAACAATATTTAGAACTCATAGTCTCTCAGTTTCTAGCCTGATGCCTTAAGCATAACAATAAACTTGCTCTCCAAAGAATGTTTACATGGAGGACATTTCCAATTTATTGACTTGATTAATTCCTTAATTAATAACCTTAATTCCAAAAATGCAACAAGAGTTCATGGAATACAGTAGAACATGAGAGAAGTAGTTAATGAAGAGTTAACAAAAACCTATGAACCAAAGATAAGAAGTACATGTAGCATATATAGCTTTCTGCTGTGAGATAAAAACTACTTGCAGATGAATCCTCTCTCACCTTATATTTTATAAATACAATCTAATGGAATGTCAACAGTTCTTTATTGAATAATCTCAGTATAAACAGAAATTGCAAAAGTATTTGAACAATGGAATTATTTAGGAATACACCCATAGGTATTTTATATTGTACTAATTCACAGATATACTTCTTTTATGAATCTATTGGAGTATACTAATTGCTAAATCCAGTGTTGTGATAGTGGACCTTTCCAAATGCATTCCCTTGTAAAGACAGAACAACTGTTCAGCAGTGCTTTAAATTTAAGTTCCTTAAAAAGATAGCTAATATTATTCTGATTTTTTTCTCTTTTGTCATTGAGTGTTCAGATTTTAGGAAGCCACCAGAGGGCATGCATGTCATATTATATTGCCAACTGCCCAGAGATATATTTTGCTGATTGGGCAAGTAAATATATAAAGACTTGTAAAAGTCTTTTAAATAAACAAATATATAATCCTCTGTAGCCATTACAGTCTAAATGATACATCTAATAACTGCACCTTTTATGACATGCTATATTATACTGATGGTATATGTCTACATAAAATTCAAAGAGCTTAAACTTTTTTTAAAAAAAAATGAGTAAAAGTGTTGGTTTTATTACATATTTTATTACCTATTGAAATAGAATGAAATATAATTTCTGCCTAAACTTTGTTATAAAATTACATTCAAGAAAACAATTGTTACTTCAGAAACACAAAATAATTGTTTTTGGAAATAGGGGAGTTCATAATGTTGGGAATTACTGGTTTTAAGAAAATGTTTTGCAGAAATGTATGATGGAAAGCAATATTAAAAAATATGAACCTGTTTTTTTCCCCTACCAGCTATCGTGCCGATACTCAGACATACCAGCCGTACAATAAAGATTGGATAAAGGAGAAGATCTATGTTCTTCTCCGCAGACAAGCTCAGCAAGCAAGCAAATAATGGGGCACAGAGGGAGGGGCGTGTACAGCATTCTGTAGTGAAAGTCTTGTATTGTAGTCCACTGTTCATTCTTATAAGCCTACGACTAGGACTGAGTCAGTTAGAACTGTAAGAGACTTGTTCATTTCCAGAAGAAAATGTCTTTTACATGAATTTAGTTTTTAATTTTTCACTTTACTTAGTTTTATTTTGTTCAGGGTCCTTAAGATTATTCACATCTCCTTCGCCATCATTGCTATATGTACTCCTCAGAGAAGGGGAGATCAATAGTATTACTTGGAGGCAGTGAAAAATCATAATGAACAATAAAATAAATGCTCTTTAGTTAAACATGTTGAGTGATGGTTTTATAAGCTGAGTATATAACTTGTAGACTGTTCATTTAAAAAAAAAACCTGTTAATATATTTTCCAGTTCATACTGGATTCTTAATTCACACAGTAAGCCAGATTGCGTGTGACTACAATTTGTTGACTAGATTTACACAACATATTAAAGTATAAACCAGGAATGGGCAATCCTGTCACTTCTCAGCATTCTGCACTGCCAAATTTTGGTGATAAAATTGTCACATTTTGGTATTTGTGATTCCCCCCCCCTCAGTTCTAAAAATTAGGATTAACATGGATGAAGCTTCTGGATTTCATCTCTGGTATTGCCCCTCCTCTCCTTTAAACCAATTCAGAATTCATATTTTTGGGGTTGATTATACATAAACTTGGCAGTTTGGTAGGATTTAAAAATGGAAATAGCATATTTGTGGGAATCGTAATGCTTCCGTTTTACCTTGCACTAGGCTACCAGATTATTATTGTTTATTAAATTTATACGCTGCTCATCTTGTGGTTCATGGTGACTGGCTTACAGTGTAATAAAACATACAGATAGAAAAACAATTGTAAGTATAAAAACATTAAAATTACAAAAGATTTTAAAAGATGTAGAACATTCTAATTCTTTGCTACCATGTAGTAGCTGTCTGAAGGTTTGCAGTCCAGATCTCTGCTGTAGGTTTCCCAAAATTGTTTCCCAAAAACAATTAACTGCGGATTATTTCAGGGAATAGAGGCAAAAATGGAAGAGGAAAGAATTTCAGTCTTAAAATATGAAGAAAAGCCAGAATATTTTGGTTTTGCTCTTTTCAATAAATTGGTTCCTGCAGTCTCTACCTTGCCCTTTACACATTGCCCATTTTAAACGGAACCAAAGGTTTACGCATTGAGGTAAGCAAAAAAATCAGAAAAACTACATATGTACTGAGCACAACATACAAATCCAGCTTTGGAGTTGCCACATCATAAAATTTCATGGCAAAATTAAAATATAAGTGAACAGGCTCTTTGGAATTTAATGCTATGAACTAAGCCTGGGTTCTCAATGGTTGCTGTATTAACACTTAAATACCAGTAGTTCACTAGGAAAAAAAGTTGTATTCTATAAATCACTGCAGTTGAAGTTCTTGTTATGTGATTACTGACTTCCTCAGAAGCAGGTGTTTTCTCACTACACAATACAGTTCCAACCACTGTTTCAAAACTAGTACGCAAAGGAAGTACATCAAAACATTTTATTATATGCAAAAGAAGCAAGCTAGAATGAAAAATTCTGTTTTTGGAGTGATATATGTCAAATTATTGTTATTACAACATAAGGTTTTTTTTATTACATTTAGCATGACAGAATGTAAAAAGTATGGTGAATGGGATTCAGAATTGCTTATCCATTAATATAGAGGGTCTAGTTTTGACTAAGGTCAACAGATATTACAGAACAACATTATTTATGATGTTATTGTTTAGTTGGTTCTCTGTGCCCCCTCACTGTTGCCTCTGTGTGCAGCCCCCCTGCGTTGCACCCTGGGTAGCATGCGAGCATGAACTAAACGAACTAGCAATCTGTAATAACTGTAGATTCCCTGGCTCTCGATGTACAAATGCCATACACGAAATAATATGTTGCCTCTCACATTCCACAGGATCTTCCAAATTTTCAGGAATATGTATAGGGGTCAGAGTGGGAATCAATCAATCCTTCAGTGATTAGAGTTCTGTGAGTAGAGTCCATATCACAGATTATCTGTATTTAATTCAGTTTATTTAAACCTTGGAAGATATAACACTTTAAGCAAAATGGAATTGCAATTTTACTTGACATTTTAAATTGATTGGACTGGATTTGTATATTGGTTTTAATTTAGAAGTATCTCCAACAACTTGAAAAGCCAATTATATTGGGATGTTCTGTTTCCTCTGATACAGCATTACTGTATATCGTTACCACTTCATTATCACACAATCTAATTCTCATTTGCTATTCTGGCTGGCTTCCATCTGCTATCACGTGATTTCATTCCTCTGAATTTGAGGTTAGATAGGTGCCTCAGCTGTGTTTCAGGAGTATTCCTGGTCTGCACACATTTCCTTTCAGTGTTCAAGGATAGAGAAGAATAACCCAGTTGTTTGAATATTAAAAAAATAATAATTACCAAATGGGTTGGCATGGTAGCATATAAAAATGCTGGGTTGCAGCATATATTAAGGAAACTGAAATACAATTTTATTTCCTTAACATTAATGAGAAGAAAAACCTATTTTGCACATATGCATGTTTATAGTCTTTAGCCAGGGTGAGAGATAACCTATAATATTCCAATGAATTCTGCAACTGGTACAAGAGAGGAAAAATCTATGCCTATGCAATTATTGCTTCTTTAACTGGTGGGTAGAGCCAGAATGTCTTTTCCTTTCTGTTTAATTTCTTTACTGAGACATCTTGAATAACTAAAATAGGAATGGATGGGAAGGCCAGAGTAAAATGGTTGAGCTAAGGAGTATGGTGGTTCATGAGGTTAGGATGCTGGGCTGACAATCGGCAGGCTCATGTTCAATATCTCGTTTCTGCTACGGGACGAGGTGAGCTTCCGTCACACCCTCCAGCTTTTGTCGAGTCAGCAGTTCAAAAGCGGGCAACCATGGACACCACATCAGTGGGCAACTTAATGGGGCTGTGAAAAGAACCCCCAACTGGGCATCCCACAAGCAACAATTATGTCCTTTTCCAGTCTTTTTTTCCTAAAAAAAAAAAAAAGTGCCAGAACTCACACACGTCATACAACCCGCCTTGCCTACCCTACAAGGTTCCATCCCAGAAAGGTGCCGGAACTCCGTTCTATGAGAAAAAAAGCCCTGCCCCTTTCAATCCTTTCAACCCAGAAGTGCATTAGCGCTCCCAGCACGACTGTAGTAGCAATGGTTACACTCCAGACATGCTGATCTGCAAGCAAAAAACATGGAATTCAAGACTAAACAGGTGGAACATTTGAAACTCTTGAAATGATTTGTCAGTAGGTACGTGATACAAGTATTTAAAATCAAGCACAATATGGCAAAAGTGCACATGGTGAGTTTTTCTTTCTCAAAAGCCCAGGACCAGAGGTCATCCAATGAACCTGATTAGAAGGAGAATTCAAATAAAAGTATTTTTCACACGTTGCAGAATTTATCTGCAGAATTCATTCTCACAAAAACCGGATAAATTACTAACTTGAGTGGCTTTAAAAGGGGACTGAATAAATTTATGAAGGACAGGTGTATATATGAAGATCTACTAATCTTGAATATTACCTCTGGGCTCAGGCCAATATATTTCCAAATTCTAGGCACAGAGTAACAACCACGGAGAGGGATATATCATCTCTTGTTCATGACTACCCCACTGGCATCTGATTAGCCACTGGAAAAATAAGCTGGATTTAAATGCCCCTTGGTTTGATCTAGTTGGGCTATTTTTATGTTCTAAACTTTGTGAAGGAAGAAAGGCGAGCTATTTTTGCAGAGTGCTGTCTATTCTCTTGGAGTTTTCATCAGTTGAAATTATCCACCACTCCCCATAACAAGTGAAATTCTACAGTGTGCAAAGCTTGATTCAGTCCAGTATGCCTGGGTAGGGCATTGGTTATTTCTGTAGTATTTATGCTGTAAGTAAATAAAAATACATAAATTCAACAACTAAAGATAATGTGAAGTTTACCATTCACAAGTTAAATATCTGAGTAGCTATGATTAGCTAATTCATGTAAAGCAAGGCTTATGTTTCAATTTGCATAGAATGTCTATTCAGTTTTCATTTGTATTCTGTATATGGAGTGCATTGTGTATACCAAAAATAATAATGAACTAGAGCTCAGCTTTATCAGAAATGTTTCTATGGTTGCCTGTCTGCAACAGAAAGAAGATACTTGTATAATCCTGAATTGAAGTAAACTTTTCTTAAAAGAAAAGGATTCTTGATCAATTACTAGACTAGAGGTTCTGTCTGGATGATATGGGAAATTTATTTTTCTGGAATCCTGGGTGCTCAGTGAGCTTGGTTGCAGATGTTTCATTACCCAACTAAATAGCATCATCAGTATTAGTGAATGTGGAGCTTGTTTTGTGTTTATATACAGTAGCTCAGTTAGTGCTTATTTTATTATTTTATTTATCCAATTTATACAGGTAGTCCTTGATACATGACCACAATTGAGCCCAAAATTTCTGCTGCTAAGTGACACATTTGTTAAGTTAGTTTGATCCCATTTTATGATGTTTCTTGATCCAGTTCTTAAGTGAATCACTGTGGTTATTAGTAACATGATGTTAAGGGAATCTGCCTTCCTCATTGACTTTGCTTGTCAGAAGGTCACAAAAGTTGATCACATGACCCTGGGGCACTGCAACCTGGGGCACTACAACCGTCATCCAAATTTTGATCATGTGACCTTGGGGATGCTGCAATGGTTGTGTGATAAATGGTCATAAATCAGTTTTTTCAGTGCTGTTATAACTTCAAATGGTCACTAAATGAATTGTAAGTCAAGGGCTACCTGTAATCTATACAACAAGGTTGTTGACAGGTGTATGGTTTTCTTCTTGATAGTCCCTTGATTAGGGTATTATTTTCTGATTCTTTATCTGGTGTTAATCCCTGTTTATTTGGGTGTTTCTTTTTGTTTCCTTCTTAGCTTTTTTATTGTTTCCTGAAATGTGTGTAAATGTGGTTTATCTCTATGTCTCTACTGATTGCTGATTTGTTTGAAAACCAAGCTTCCAGGAATTCTCTGGTGTTTTGGACTGAGCACTGATGATGTTACCTAATTGGGTAATGAAACATCTGCAAGCAAACAGCCAAGCTCAGAGAGCACCAAGGACAGTTCAGCCCTGAGCTGCACACATATTCTCTTCTATTGGAATTTATTTTTCTGCTGTTCATCGTACCATGTTAATACTGTTACATCTCTTCCTCTCTACGCTATTCTCTACTCAATAGTTCTGCCTCACAAACTCTGTCTCATTAAGACATTAAAGGTGGCTGAATATTATTTTCTCAGCTTTAAGAACAGCTTCATATCTGTATAATCAGTGCTTTTGGAATTCAGAATAAATATGGAGGTGGAGAAGGTTTTAAGCGACGCATAAATATATTTTAAAGTTGAAACCTACAATGCTCATATGAAAATGGATAATGTATTTACTAGGACTGTGCAAAGCTACTTGGAGAAATTGAAATACAATTTCTAAGTGCAGCATTTGTTATCAGCCCAATCATTACTTTTCTGCTCCTATATAAATATATGCAATGCAATCATAGAATCTTTCAGTGTAAACCAATATCCAAGTTAAAAGATTTCGTGTAAAACTGAAAAGGGAAAAAAAAATCTGTTTCCTGATTGCAGCCCACATCACAATTAAGAATGCAGATTCACATCTATCACATCTCATCACTGTAGGTTTGCTTTTGCTCTGAATTAGATTAAAAAATACAAAAATATTTTTTTTATTCTTAACACTTCTGCAACCATTTCAAAGAGAGGAAATGAAGTCAAGGTGCTGGACCGATAGTGAGAAACCCAAGTTCCAGTCCACCCTCAGTTATAGTGACTCAGAGTGACTT